CTTAGCGTTTTATTGTTTTTGCGACTGCACTTAAGGACAGATTCAAAGTTTTATCAATTTTCCTGACTGCATGCTAACTGTCTGGTACATTGTTTTCATTTGTCTTTTTACTGGGGCTTTTTTGGATGTGTTTTCATTAGAAAACATAAAAGACAAGGAGAAACTATTTATAGATTATATGGCAATTCTGCAGCACTACATACATATATCAAAAATAAATAAGGAGTTTATATTTACACTGTGGCTTTACTGCATATATTAAATATTGCACTGTAATGATGGTAATTTGCATAGTCTGTGTATAGAGGGGAGTAGTCAGCGCATGTTTAAGTTCAGGGTGGTTATGGCTTTTGGAAAGAAACTATTGTTGAGTCTGTTAGTCTTTGTACTTTTGCACCCATACTGCCTCCCTGAGGGCAGCAGGTTGAACAGGTCAAAACCAGGGTGGGAGCTGTCCTTGATGATGTTTGTTGCTCTGCTGAGGCAGTGTGAGGTATAAAGGTCCATCAAGGAGGGAAGGGGGCAGCCAATGATCTTCTGTGCTGCCTTAACTACTCTCTAAAGCCCTCTCTGTCTGCCATGTTGCAGTTGCCGTACCTTACTGTGATATAGCATCTCAGCAGGCTCTCAAGGGACGAGCAGCAGAATGTCAGCAGCACGTTTGAGTCCAGGTTATACTTCCTGAAGACCCTCATGGTAAGTAAAGTGAATTGCCAACATTGTGCTGTCCTAGTAACGAGTTCCTCTTCCGTTATCAAACTGTCTCTTTGACAACATCAACACGAAACTGTGCAAGAGGAAGTTGTAAAAATCTTAAAAATAAAGCACCTAACCATCCATCTATCTATTCTCTTCTGCTTATCGTTATCAGGGTCTCAGGGAGGAGATGGAGCCTGTCCCAGCTGTCATCAGGTGAGAAACGAGGTACACCCTGGTCAGGTCACCAGTCTGTTGCAGGGCTAAAACACTTAACTGTCTTAAATTAAAATTTAAGAAGTTTAGTTAAATGCTTTCATTATTGCAGCTCTTTTGTAGAAAGCTTTTGTGAGCACACATGGAAACAGAGCAAAAGTCAGTCTCATTACCCTCAAGAATTTATCTTACTCACTATCAAACATTGCAATACTGCTGCAGTCACCACTGCTAGCAGCTAGATGAGAGCACAAAAAAAGATGTGTTAGTGATCTGTGGGCTGATGCTTCCTCATCGCACTTCTGAAGTTTAATTTTATCTTTTTCTGAGAAGTGAAGGGGGAAGTGTTTTGGTGAGAATGTGAGTACAACAGCAGCAGAGCTCTGGAGGTTTGAGCCTCTCATGATAACCACATAAAAGTCAGAAACACAAATGGTTAACACACCCAGTAGTCTATAAGAAGCGTCTTTAGGTCCTCATCATTTTTCTGGAGTTTGCTAAATTGCTAAGACTGAATAAATGTTCACTACAGTTCAAAATTCAGATTAGCAGCAGTTTTTCTTCATACAGCTTTTAGTGAATCAGGCTAAACAATACTTAACCACTGCCTCTAATGTCCTGCAATTGGTTAATGTGACTGAAAACTGACTAAAAACATTTTTGTTTCTATTAGTTTTAGTGTTCTTACTATTATAACCAACAATGAAAAAAGGAGACTGGCCATGTGTTGGATTTATGTAAGCATCTTTGTCATATTTAACACCTCATTTTAAGTTGATTGTTTAAGTTGCTGCCAAAGCAAAGCATCTGTGTTTATCCAATGTCCACTATTAAATTAAATAAATCCAACATTATCTTGTTTCAGTGAACACTTCAATATGTGCAGTTATGACAAAATGACACAGGCTCTAAAGCGGTTTCTTCTTAAAATGAAGAAAGTATCTGGATCCTTTATTTAAAGCATTTATTTACAGTGGCAAAAAAAATTTATTAGTACTTTTTCTTCTTTCTAATTTTTGTCCGCACTGTTCAGGATGCATTTGAAGCTGCGCCTTAGACAGTAATGATGTCATGTACTGTGATAGGATGCTATCAGCTAAACTTTTATGAGCAGCAGCAAACAGAAAAGGTTTCTTGGTAGGGATGCACCGGTTCTGACATAAACGGTAGTAACCAGACCGAAAAGCAGCGCACATTTCGGTGCTTTATTTCGGTGCTTTTTTTTCCTGAGCTGTGATACACTTCTAGCCAATCATTTTACGTTTCCGAGGATAGTAGGCGGGTCCAGGCACGTACGTTCTTTTAGAGCAGAGCTACAGATTAAAAACGCCCAAGGCGAAACGGTCAAAAGTATGGCTGTACTTCACAGCAAAATATGCAAACTCAGCAGCCTGCAACAAGTGCTTTAAGCTGATACTGTCAAAGGAGGTAACACCTCGAATCCGATGAAACACCTGGCGACGCATAGCGTTTTTTTTTTTAAAGCCAAGAAATGCGCTGTATTTGATAGCTTGCTGCGAGACCTCACACCGAGCACATCTACTGTGGGTGTGGTACCTGTTATCAGACCCGGAGTTAGCAACATCCCCAAAAACACGAAGAGTAGAGTCCTGGGGCCTGTTCTTCGTACCGCGCTAAGTGAGTTAGCTGGATGAGATTGTTGACGATTTCGCGTGATCCTGGATCGTTCGGTTCCCCGAAGCCCATCTGGGACTTGCTGTCATAGCAACAGAGCCGTAAGCGTAAACCTGCTGGGGAGCAGGTTTACTTTATGTAAACAGGATTAGATCGCGGCCACGCAGGTATGCCCGCGTCATTCATACGAAAGCAACAGCGATATTCCACCACTGTTTCACCATAAATAAATAACATCAATGTAACTAAAGACAATGCAGCACCTGATCCATTTATTGATTTCACACAGATACATACAGGTCATTTCCTTAAAAAGGGAAATGTACTATTAACATTCTATTACATGTATGTGATTATTACAGATGTAATTCATATTTCAGAGTAGCAATTGCAAATTACTTTGTGTAATCAAGATGAGAGACCACGGCTATAAAAGCGAAGGTGGATTTGGGAAGCCTGTCGCAGCCATGTCCTGTCCGTATACGCGAGCCACCCATTGCGGAAGGTGCAAGATTGATAAGGAGAGTTTTCAGAATTCAGCGTATATTGCGGGACAGACAGGATCCTTTAGCTCAGCGCGACAGTGTGCTCATAGAGAGATATCGATTTTCCCGTGAGGATATTATTTACTTAACCAACTTGTTGATGAGGGGGTGCAGGACCACCACCTGTCTTTTTTTTTTGCTCTGCCCTTTTCTTGGTTGCTGTTATGAACAAACAAACAGAGTATTCCAGGGTCTCTTTCCAAGAGACGACAAGCAATATAAGTGATAAATATTACCATTCTGTAGAATATTCTTATATTTCACTTTTACCTGTTCCCATGTTGTAGTGGGTCCTGTTGTGGCTCTAATGTGAAAGGGGATATAATATAACATATTATAATATAATATAATGTAATATAATATTGGATAATATAGTGTGATATGATAAATCTACCCTACCGCCTACTGGTGTTGGCCAGAGGGGCCAATGGCGCGATATGGCAGCCTGGCTTCTGTCAGTCTGCCCCAGGGCAGCTGTGGCTACAACTGTAGCTGCCTCCACCAGTGTGTGAATGTGAGAGTGACTGAATAGTGGCATTGTAAAGCGCTTTGGGTGCCTTGAAAAGCGCTATATAAACCCACTCCATTATTATTGTTATTATTAAATTACTTACGAGTTTAATTTGTCAGCAACTTTCTGCCAGCCCTCTCTCCTTGCTTTTGCAGCCTTTGCAGTGTTCCCTTGCGTTCTGATTAAACTCTGAAACTCCTGAAATCCCTCACTCAAGAGTTCTTGCTCTGCTGCCGAAAAATACCGAGCCGAGCGCGCTCCGTCGACATTTTCGCCGACCAATCAGAGGGTTGCCGATCAATGTTTCCACTATCGATGCGTAGCCCCTTTTACGACACCCAGTGATGTCACATTACTGCGTCCAGCTGTACTAATCGTCAACAGCAGGTGTGTTCGGGGAACCGGATTAGCGCGCTCACGGTTAGCGCGATGGTTTGGTCTTGGATGTTTCATTTGATCTTGGATGTAGTAAGCGACGTACGAAGCACAGGGCCCTGGCCCCTAGCCCTGCCAGTGTAGCAGAAATGATGACGGATGATGATGGCAGCAGCAGCCGTTCTTCTCTACGTGCGTAGCTTAAGTCGTTCGTGTGTAATTTACATTGAGTAGGCTAACCACGTTATTATATTAATGCAGGTAAGGTGAGCTAGCAAACATCATCATAGGTACATGCGGCTGTCTTCTTGTTTGATGGCAGATACTCCCTTCACTCTGGCCAAAAAGGCTAAAATGACCAAAGAAAAAGTGGAAAACAGCTAAACATGAGAGGTTTTTGGACCAATTTTGTGTTCTCCATTCTGTAAGCACCGGTTTGAGCACCGTTTGAGCACCGGCACCGTTTCAAAAGTACCGATTTGGCACCGGTATCGGATAAAACCTAAACGATACCCATCCCTATTTCTTGGAATAAAACGTCAACACATACCCCTCTGGCAGAAACAGTTTAGGTCAAAACAGAAATATATATGTGTGGTAACATGTCTGTTTTTGAAACATAAATGATTTTCAGTTTGGTGTCTGTAGCTCAGGTGTTAGAGCAGGTCAGCTACTAACCAGAAGGGTGGTGGTTTGATCCCAGTCTGCTCCAGTCTGCATGCCAAATATTCTTGGGCAAGATACTAACCCCATGTTGCTCTCCGATGCTTCCATCGGAGTGTGAATGAGTATTAATGTTAGATAGGGAGCACTTAACTGCTTGGGTGAATGAATTTGTTGTATAAAGCACTTTGAGTGCTCTGAAAGAGTAGCTATATAAAAGTGTTATATAAGTCCATTTACCAAAACAATATTATGTTATTAGTTCAAAACAACCAATACGTAAGACAAAAAAAAATAACCCATGACTTTTCACATTCACTCTCTCATCTAAAAAGTGAAACAGCATCTACCATATCTCTTTTCATGAGCATCATCCTACTTCTTTACATCATTGATGGTGGAATAGAGGTGGTTGGGATCATCTCCAGCAGAAGAGGAAACAGCTTTCACTGTGCTGTAGGTCACAGTGTCACCTTCATCATGACCACGGGACTATAGGAAAACATTACAGAACAAAAAAAAAAAACATTACAGAGCAAGACAAGACATAAGGCTCTTTGAAAATCATGGTCTTACTGCTAACATCATCCCCACAAATATTAAAAATCTCACCCGGGTTTTACTCCTGGTCCTCTTGGGCAAGCTGATGGAGACGTAGGAAACACCATCATCAGCTCCAGCCTACACAGTGAAGACAAAATAACATCTGCTCAGTGATGTCAGTTTAGTTTAATACAGTTCAGTTCTGGCTGTATTGACTTTTCTGTTAAAATGAAACAAATATTTAGTGCAAATTTATACTGAGATTAGTGTGCAACCTCACCCTGGTTTGATTGGTTCCTGGTCCAGACTGAGTCTCTGCAGCGTTTAAGCTCAGTCCCTGCTCACAAACAGAAGAGTAACTGTGTAAAGATCTAAATGTTACTTAAATAGTTAAACATTCCCAGTGAGGAGCTGATTCAGCTCACTTGCAGCTTTGTCAGCTGTTCTGTTTCTGATGGTAAATCCTGTATTTTATTTAGTCATTTAGAGACATGAAGTCACCTCTAAAAGTTTATTAGCTCAATCTCATATGAAACAATGGAACTATTTGAACTCACAGTGTTGCCGGCCAGCTGCCCTTCTTTTCCTGAAAAAGAAAAAAAACAAAAAAAACCCACTGCGATTAGTTCCACATTAAAAATCCATTTTTTGCCTGTTTGCTAACGATCCCAATCTACAAAATAAGAAATCTCTTCAATTCACCATTTTCACATTCTTAACATTAGTTATATTATGTTAAACTATAATCTGAGGATGCTTTTACCTTTATGTTTCTTCCATCTTATGACCACAACAATCATTAAGAGTGCTGATAAACCAATGGGAAGGATAATGAGCCATAATAACAAACCTGAAAAGAGAAAGGTACACATTAAAGCTGTGAACACACATTTTCCTGTAAGGACCACTTCCTGTCAGCGCTCACTGTCTGTAGGCCTGTGTGAAGGAGCTCTAACTAAATGTCCACCCAAAGCCCAGAGTCCACCTGACATTCAGACTTTAAGTTTTAAAATCACAACTGTCACTGAATGTCTCCACCCAAGTGGCAGTCTGACATTCAGATATTTGGTGTTGATTTAGTCTCTGTGACATCTTCACCTAAAGAAATGTAATTACAAAATCAAATAAAGAATGATTGTAAGAAAAAAATAAACACCAAGCTGTTTTTAAAAGAATAGATAATGTGGAGAGGTGCAATATGTAACAATCAAACCAGTCAAAGCATCACTGTGAGGTGACTTGAACACATTCTTAACAGGTTATTGTCCGACAACTAGAATTTAAAGGGTCTGAACTATAAAGCAAATTTCAGATGTCTCTACCTTGTGAGGATTTTTTTGATTCTAGAGAAGATTTTGTTGTTCTCATTGTTGTTGTTGTTGTTCCGATTGTGACTATTGTTGTTGTTGTTTTTGTTCTCATTGTTGTTGTTGATCTCATTGTTGTTGTTGTTCTTGTTGTTGAGGTAAATTTTGCAGTCGTTGATTTTGTGTTTTCACCTAAAGAAAGAAATGAAATAACAAAATAAAACAAAAGTATTCAAATAAAAAAAACCTGCAAACTACATTTACAAAAACAGATAATGTAGAGCGCTGCTATAATTAATAATCATGTGAGTTAAACACGTCTGCTCATCACTGTGAAGCGATTTGAACATAATCTCACCTGTTTTCTCACCTGAGGACTTGAGTTTGAAGGGAAACAGTTGTTCTTCTTTAGTGTAATCATCTGTCACTTTGCACTTCAATGAATTATAAAACTGTGACTTCTGATCATGGTGAGATCTTTTAAATGTCACAGTCACAGAGCAGAAACCTGGTTTGATCTCCTCGTCTGATATTTTCTTTTTACCCTCATGCAGCCACTCCACTGTGTGTCTACAGTGTTCATGTGTCAGCACAGAGCAGTTCACAATGACTTTATTGTTGTTCTCATGTTCAGTCACTGGTGAAGATGGAGATATGGAAAGAGAAAAACAACAGAGCATCATCACTGTAATAAATACTGCTGTAATATTTCAGTTTGTTCCAAGTTTGAACTAAAAACATTATGATGTAAATACTCACTGTTAATAACAGACAGATCAATCATAAAGCCTGGACCTTCTTGTTGTCCTCCTCTTGTTTTGTACTGTCTGCAGGTGTAACGACCAACATCCTCAGCTTTGACCTTCTTTATAAGCAGAGAACAGTTCGCTGTAACACTCAGTCTGGTGTATTCAGCTTTAACATTTTCTTTAATCTGTCCATGAACAACCAGCTCTACTGTTGCTGTCTGTCTTGAATCAGTGAACATCCAGGTAGTATAGCTGCAGTCATGTTGACCATCTATCACATTTTCACAAGACAAAGTGATGTCATGTCCAGCTCTGGCAGCTCTGAAGGAGGACAAAGTCTGTCCTGTTGTTTCTGCTGAGGATAGGAGAGTGAAATGTGACAAACTATAACATGAACACTGCAGTTAGATTAACAGTTCGTTTAAGGATTATTTTACATCATTTATTTCTCATCTTTTCTTTCCAAGAGTCCAGAAAACTCAAAGTTACAAAGCAAACACGTCTCTCTTAGTTAAAGGAAGAACAGACTATTGTGTGTGTGTGTGTTCTGTGTTTCCTTACCTGTAATCTGAAGCATCAGCAGCAGGAAAGAAGACATTTGAATCCACATGACTGCAGCCATCGTACTTCTCTGTCTGTCAGTCTCTACTCTCTGCTCTCACATTGACAAATGAGACAGTCTCAGACATGAACACAGCTTCAACTTCCTGCTAACTTCCTCATCAGTGGTTTACTCTTCATCACTTGTTCTGAATTTATTTGTTTTACAGCCTTCAAATGTTTTTGTCCTCCCTCTCTCTTTATTCATAAAATGAATAATTGAGCTTTTAACAAGAATATGTGTTGATGCCCACAATGAAATATGTTGATACTGCAGCAAACACCACTGCAGCAGCTGGATAACGACACAGATAAGATGTGTTAGTAGTCTGAGGCCTGAGTTTTTCTGAGAAGTGAAGGGGAAGTATTTCTGTGAGAATGTGGGTACAACAGCAGCAACGCTTTGGAGGTGTGAGACTCTAATTTTGACCACATAAATATCAGAAACACAAATGGTTCACGCACTGATGGACTAACAGAGCTGCCCTTAAGTCCTCAACATTTTATTTTTGCTGAGCTGTGGATTTGAAAACACACATTAAATGACACACACGAGTAAACTTTTTTTTTAATTTGCAAAATTACTTAGACTGATTAAATGTTCACAAATGACAAATGTTAACACACTGATGAGAGAGTGACTGTCGTTATTGTCGCCGTCATTTTGAACGTGTGGAACGTTGATTTAAATCAATCAGTTTTTAGAATACAAATTCATTACATTCATTTCAAGGTGTTTTAATATTGTGTGAGTATAAGTTGGAATCATCTGATAGGAACAGTGAGAGGAGATGAATTTGTTTGTTATTTAGACAAATGTCAGCAGTCAGTACAAACAGAGGAGCTTAAACTAGTAGAGTCAATGTTTTATATGGAGATGAAAGAACAGGAAGTTATACTGGGGAGAATAATAGAAGCACACTTGTACTGTGGTCAGCACTGCAATGCTGTGGTGTGTGTGAGGTGTCAGAGAGAGACAGCACTACAAAACACAATGATAGTCATCACAGCTAAAGTGTAACACACAATGTTAATGGTTTAATGTGGAGCAACAAAACGTGGCTCCTCATCCCAGCTGAATAAGCGAGTGAGAGAGAGCGAGAGGGAGAGTGAGGAAGGCACCTTTTGATAGGATGAACCTCGTACACTATGTGCACATCTGTGCCACATCAGTAATCACTCAGTCTACATTAAGGTTCAGTCTTCCCTGGGTGACTGTGATGAGGACGTGGTCAGTCTGTCCAGTTCTTGTCACCAGCCTGTCAGAGTGTTATTTTCCTGAGAGAGAACAAAGGACGCGACCCTAAGCGACGGCCTCGAGGGAAACGAGCCGGCATCAGGAACAGGCTATGGGCTCGCGCACACCGCGCACCCATGCCCAGTATCCTGCTAGCCAATGTTCAATCCATCGAGAACAAGCTTGATGACCTCAGAGCCAGAATCAAGTTCCAGAGAGACATTCGGGACTGCAACCTCCTCTGCTTCACCGAGACTTGGCTGAACCCAGCGATTCCAGACCACACCGTGCAGCCGGCGGGGTTCTTTTCGGTTTACCACATGGACAGGACAATGGAGTCGGGGAAGAAAAGAGGTGGTGGAGTGTGCTTGATGGTGAACAACAGATGGTGCGACAGCACAAACATCTCCCCACTCACACGCTCTTGCTCGCCCAATCTGGAACTTTTGATCATTAAATGTCGCCCTTTCTATCTCCCTCGGGAATTCACTGCGGTCATTGCCTGCACTGTTTACATTCCGCCTCACGCGGACTCGGACACTGCCTTATGTGAGCTACATGAGGCTCTCACACATCAACAAACACTTCACCAAGATGCCGCACTCATTGTTATGGGAGATTTTAACAGAGTGAATCTCAAACGGACATTTCACAACCTTCACCAGCACATCAACTGCCCCACCCGGGGCACTAGGACATTAGACCACTGCTACACCCCGTTCAAGAACTGTTACAAGGCTCAGCCCCTGCCGGCATTTGGAAAATCGGACCATGCCGCCATCTTCCTCATGCCTGCTTACAAACAAAGGCTAAAGCAGCAACCACCAATCAGGAGGGAGGTCGCTCGCTGGACGGACCAATCAGTGGCCGCGCTGCAGGATGCACTGGATGATGCAGACTGGGACATGTTTCGGCGCAGCTCTGATGACATCAACATGTTTATGAAAGTGGTTGTGGGATTTATCGGGAAACTAGCGGACGACACAGCAGAAAGATCTATCATCCGAACGTTTCCCAACCCAAAGCCGAGGGTGGATAAAAACATCCGCGACGCTCTGAGATCACGCACCGCTGCCTACAATGAAGGAAGGGCTCGTCTCCGGTAATATGGTGAATGCCGATGCTTCACTGGCTGATGAGCTGAACACGTTTTATGCTCACTTCGATGCCGCAGCAATTAAAACAACAAACGAGTGAAGAAAATGCATTCATCATCATAGAGCATGCCGTGAGGAACACCTTCAGGAGGGTGAACACCAGGAAGGCAGCAGGACCAGATGCAATCCCTGGCCGGGTACTGAGAGCCTGCGCTGACCAGCTAGCACCGGTGTTCACGGAGATCTTCAACCTCTCCCTGGCCCAAGCTGTGGTTCCCACGTGTTTCAAACAGTCCATTATTGTCCCTGTTCCAAAGAAACAACAGCCCACTTGCCACAATGACTACCGTCCAGTAGTACTGACTTCAATTGTGGTGAAGTGTTTTGAAAGACTGATGAGAGATCACATCACTTCTTCACTTCCTGCCACCATCGACTCACTTCAGTTTGCTTACCGGACTAATCGTTCCACAGACGATGCCATATCTCACCTGCTCCACACATCCCTGAGTCACCTGGACACTGGCAGAGGGAATTATGTTAGGATGCTGTTCGTGGACTACAGTTCAGCATTCAACACGAATAATTCCCTCTAAGCTTTTCACCAAGTTGACGGATCTAGGACTCAGCTCATCACTGTGTCAGTGGATCCTCAACTTCCTCACAGACAGACCCCAATCAGTGAGGGTGGGAAAACAAGTCTCCCCCTCCATCTCACTCAGCACTGGAGCCTCAGGGCTGTGTTTTAATCCCCCTGCTGTACTCACTGTACACTTATGACTGTGTAGCCACATCAGACACCACCTCCATTGTCAAGTTTGCTAACGACACTGTTGTTGTGGGCCTGATGTCTGACAACATCGAGACGGCCTACCTGGAGAAGATCAGGAACCTGGAGACCTGGTGCCAGGAGAATAACCTCCTCCTAAACATCAGCAAGACTAAGGAGCTGATCATGGACTTCACTACAAAGCAGGCGAGGAATTACAAGCTTTTTTACCCATTTATTAGTAAATTGATTCTACCTCTCTGGTCAAAAACATACATAAAAATACACTACACATACATTATAATATTTTATACATAAATGCGCACTGGTTTATTTCCTTAACACGTGGAGGTAGGACCTTCCCAACCTATTTTAAGATTGTGTTGTACATTAATTTGAAGATTTTTCTTTCTTTATTGTGTTTACAAATATCAAGAAGTAACAAGAAAAGAGAGACCACACCCTTATGATATCACACAAAAGCTGTCAGCTGAGCTCTGTAGAGTGAGCAATCATGATGAAACAGTTGTACATTCAAGCTGCTCTTCAAACTTTTGTCCACCAGATGTCACCAAAGACGACTGTGTGCACTTCAGAAAGCTTCATTTAGACATCACTGCCACCTGTTTTTCTCCTGATCTGTTTGACTTGTCACCTCTTGTGCAGTTTGCTTAAAGGGTTTTATTGGCTGAGTGGATTGTTCTGTGATTCATCTGTGTACATACATCGATTATCATGAAAAGGCAAGGCAAGGCAAGGCAAGTTTATTTGTATAGCACAATTCAACAACAAGGTGATTCAAAGTGCTTTACAGAGACATTAGAAACAAAAACAAATAAAAGCATGATTTAAAATTGATTAAAACAAGCAAACAAACAAACTAATTAACAAACAAACAAACAAACAAAACAGGATATAAAATCAAAACAGATAAAATCAGAACAATAGATAAAGTCAGTAGTTAAAATGTAAGTTTTGAAATTTAAGGAATAAATGATTATTTGAAGTTATTTTTCTTAATAGTTGAAGCTAAGTGCACAAAGAAAAGAATTTTGCTCCTACATATGAGATAAAATCAAAAAGTAAAGGTCAGGAAATATTAATGATATTATGATTCATTTTTGTGATGAGTTGATGTTGAAGTTGTTGATCTGTGGAGTCTGACAGAAGCAGGAGAGTCTGCAGTGTTTTCATAGTTCACTGCGTCACCATCTTCATCTTTATGCACCTGTTTAAAACAATACTACACACTTTAGATTCACTCTTTGAAATGCTACTTTTGATGAGCTCTCTGATGGTTTATCTTATTATTAATTATTTATTATTTAGTCTCAAAATTCTCCACTTTTCTCAATAAACAACAACAGTAACAAAAAAGGTTATAAGTGTTTCTGCAACCTGGTTAAAACTGTGTATTTTGTTTTCTTTCATTTGTACATCCACAGTTAAAAAAGAATACATATCACTAACGTGTTGTTCGCTCTGTAAAGTTATAACAGAGTTAAACTCACAGTGTTTCCTTCCATCTGTGTTTTTATTCCTGAAATGACAAAAATCACAAAAGAGAGCTGAAATAATTAACCTGCAAGTTTATCAAAGCTTTTCTTGTATAAACGTTTCATCTGTGAAGTTCTCACCTTTGGTTTTTGTCCACATGTTGACTGTAACAGCAGATATTAGGAGTGATGCTAAACCCACAGACACGATGATGCATCTGGACAGAAAACCTAAAAACAATGAAACCATTTAGACTTCAGCTTTTTGTTCTGTGAAAAGAATAAATGTTGTGATGAAAACATTCAGTTTTGATATTTTTGTTATTAGATTAAAATATTAAGCCTGCTCTTAGGACCGATAATCAAATACATAAATAAGTTAAATGTCCTTACAAGGCACTGAAAAATATTTTTATTTGCATT